GGTGATGATAGAGCTGATAGTGAGGAGTAGGAGGACAGTGATGATGGAGCTGATAGTGAGTGAGCAGTAGAAGACTAGTTAATGGGTATTAAAAAATCCAAGACAGGGCTCCAACTACAGTCTCCTGAGTTTATTTGACCACAGAATGGTTAACGAAGCCATTTAAAGGACAGATGTTTCACAGAATATACACTGAGAAACTGGAGATTTTCTACTAAGCTTTGTCTTTCTCAGCTTCCTAATTGCCGGCTCAGAAGCGCGAGTGAGTGGCAGGTCAGTGAGCACTTTGTCTCTCCTGCAACAGTCCAAGCTCTTTTCAGACTCAGCCCTTCAAGAGAGGGGAAATGAGAACAATAAGAGGAAGTAAAAGAAAGTTCAAACACAGCAATGACAAGCAAACAGGAATGAAATTAATTTGCTGAATCAGCTTATCAAGATGTCTCATCATGCCAGTGCAACTGAATTAAATAAGATTCAGAAAGCCATCACCCAAAGCAAACCCAATGGCAAAAGGAAAACACAGATAAGGAAGTAGTTCAAGGCCTACAGACACGTTGATAAGGAGTGATATACAGATGATGGGTGACACAGGCAGAGGCTGGGTATTCTCAGCTTTTTCTTCTGCTTTGTTTGACAGCTGTTCCTTTTTTTCTAATCTTAAATTAGTGCAGGATCCATCAAAATATTTAGGAAGGCATAAGTATAACTTTCTACCAATTTTCTAGTATTTTTAGCTTTCTGACATAATATGCTTTTTTTAAGATAGATTTTTCTTGCCACTCCAGCAATTCTTCACTAAAGAAAGTTGATGGAAAAACCTTGACCGTTCTTTTCTTGTTTTCTAGGAGTGCTTTTAAAAAGCATTTTAGACATCTGACAGAAAAACAACACACAGAGCCAAAGACCACTCAATGGTTACGGAGATGGCCCCTAATTTAAAAACAAAACAAAACCCCAAAAAAAACAAAACCCTGAGAAGTTGGATATACTTTTCATACTTGATTCCGTGTTTATAATTTCCTATTTTTTTAATAATTTTTCATAGTATTGAGTTGTTATTTTGCTACCTTGCAATGGTAACCAGAGAGGTGTCTTGTTTCATTTTAAGCATGTTTAAGACCTAGTGAGCTTAGATGGTATAGTCTATAAAGAGTTGTACTGCTAATCTAAAGATCATGCCTCAACTATACTTTAAAAAATTACATTTTTTTTGACTCTAGTATTTATTGAGTAGTAACTCTGGGTGCAACACAATTCTGTACTTTATATGCATTTGTGTGAAAAGATGGCAATAACTTACTCAAAGTCACAAGGTGAGTAAATACTATCCCTGGAATGTCAACCACAGCTGTCATATTTCAAAGCCTGTACTTTAAAACATTGCTGCACCTTAACCCCTCCTGCTCAAGAGTATTGGTACTTCCATTTGCAACATTCAGCAATCACATAAACAATAGCCACTAGAATTTAAACGGTGAGTAAAAATTACTGCCCTTCACAATACTCCTACTGAGTAGATATCCAGCTTCTGTTGACATTGGAAAGATTGGGAACACATTTTCATATAGGAAACTATTTCCCTGTAATGCCTTTCATCACAGTTAGTTCCACCTTCTGGAAACACATGTAAGTGTCATCCATACATTTAAAGGTCTTTACCGTATTGTGAAATCACAGTTCAGCAAAGCATTACTCTTCTCTCACCCATTCCTCATAGGGCTTGGTGTGGTTTTGAGTTTTTCTCTCTCTATTTCAGGTAGTTGAAACATAAATATGTTAGAGTCATAAAACAGAACTGAAATTTGTAGGAGGGGAAAAAATATTCCATCAAACCATAATCTTGGTGCCAAGCACTGATGAGAGTGTTAATCTCATGGACCTTTTTCCTTCCTCCCCCAAAGATTTTCTCATATTTACCTACTACGGTACTAAAATAATTTTTAGAAGAATTAAAATATCCAGTATCTCTAAGAAAGACTGAGATCTTGATTTCATTGAAATCATTGCCATTTGAGAGGGGGCTAACTCATAGCTAAACCCCCAGCTTGTTTTCTGAGGCTATAAAGTGCACAGGAGGAGATTGTCTATCCTTCTCCTTAGAAGCTGCTGGTGGGTTTGAATTACCAGAGATGCATGGCTTTGGGGCTAGTAGTATAACTCCCTATGGACTACACACCAGAATTCCCTAAACTTTGGTTGTGGTTGTTGTTGTTGTTGTTAGGTGCTCTTGGGTCAACTATGACTCATTGTAACCCTAGGAATAGGAGATACATCATTGCTCTGTCTTGTGCCGTCCTCATCATCTCCTATATACTTGAACTTAATGTTTCAGTTGTGTCAGTCTATCTTATTGAGAGTCTTCCTACCTTTTGCTGACCCTTCACCTTGCCAAGCATGATATCCCTTTCTAAGAACTGGCCTTTCCTGACGACATGGCCAGAGTAGGGGAGATGAAGTTTTACGATCTTTGCCTCTATGAAGCACCATCATTGCATTTTCTCCAAGACATGTTTGTTTATTCTTCTGACAGTCCATAGGATATTCAATATTCTTCTCCAACTGTATGACTCAAAGGCATCTATTCTGCTTTCGCTCTTCTTATTCACTGTCCAACTTTCGGGACATATGAAGTAATAATTATAAAGACCATGGTTTGGATAAGGTGTACTTTAGTCTTTAAATTGACATTGTTAGTTGAAATCTTGGTTAGAAATAACAAAATCCACCCAATGACTGTGTTCATGAGGAACAATAGTTCATTAGCCATCTGGGAATTCAGCCTGTATGAAGTATGCTGGGACTCCAAATGAGAAGGACAATCAGACTTAATGTCATTAGGAGTCTTGAGCTAGCAGTTCTGTGGACTTTCCTTTCACTCTTAATGATATTTGAAATTTATGAAAAAATATAGATAGCCTCTTTTGAAAATGTCATGAATTAATAGCATAAAAGATAATGAAAAACTGAATAGAAAATGCATCATTCTAATGAGTAACAAAAGAAATAAAAACCAGTATTTTTTATGTTGTTGTTGTTGTTATGGTGGTGGTGCTGGTGTATCATGGAGTCAGAACTGACCCAGAGACAGTTAATCACATGGGAGAAGATTGTCCATTCTTCTCTTGCAGAGCAGCCGGTGGCCTTGAACCACGTGCCTTCAGGATTGCAGCACAGTTTCTTGCCACTAGGCCACCAGAGCTTCCTACAAACTGGAAAAGCCAGATCTACCTTAACTTGGATCTATCTGGAGATGTAGTAATTGGGAAATATTCAGACCCAAGGTAGTGCAGGCTTTTTCAGTTGTCCTCATACCTTTACAAACACTGGAGAGGAGTCAGAGAGATGGACACACACCAGGCATGATGAACTACCCAGGAAAACACGGGTTTTAAGCTGCTTGTTGCTGTTGGTGCCATCGAGTTACTTGCGACTCATAGCAACCCTATGGACAGCAGCTCATAGTAAAAACGAAAACCTACCGTAACCAGTTGCCATCAGTTCAGCTCTCAGTCATGCTTATCGCACATGTGTCAGAGTAAAGGTAGACTTGATGGGATTTTCAGAGGCTGCTTTTGCATAGATTGATAGGCCTTCCTTCTGAGTTTGTATTGACTCAAACCTCCAATCTTCTGAGTAACAGCCAAGCATCTTAACCATCTGCACCTCTAGACTCTTACAGTTAAAACTAGTGCATACTTACTTTGAGGAAATGAGTTTGAATCTTCCCACAGTGTTTGCCCATTTGCTCCTTGACAGGGGAATAGAGCAAGTCTTTGGAGGCGATACGGGCGTACGCCGCTCTCTTGTTGTTGCTCAGCATCCAAATGAACACGTCAGGGATGGTGTGCTGTGGCTGTGGAATGACAGAAAATGGGGCGGCACATGTATCCCACAAGTGCACAGTCATAGATTTCGCCTATCTGAAAATAGCTCCTCTTCTCTTGACTTTAAAACCTATTCTACGATTTAAAGGACCTCTACAATCAAGTCAGTTCAGTGTAGCTTCCTGGAGAAGAGAAAGCTTTTAGTCATGAGTGTAAATCCCATATTCCAAATTACTCACTGCATTTTGAGGAGATGAAAGTTTGACACCTAATTTGCCATTCTGATGGTCTACTTTCATCTTTCTGTAGAACAAACAATTTGCTATAACATTTTTTTTGTGCAAGGGGAAGAATTTTTCAATTAAATATTTAATAAAACAAATTGTACTTCTTCAAAGCCAGGTGATATTTGCAGAACATTGAAAGAAAATGACAAAAATGAAAATTCATCAATGTCTTCCATTTACATGTTAGAAATGAAAAACAATTCTTCAAGGGACTTGATACCTGAAATACAATTGCCAGGTATTTTAGCTCCATTTCAGGTGATTATTCAGAAGAAAATGGACTAAATTGCAGAGAAAAACTAGACTTTAAAATGAACTAACCTAGGCAGCAATTGCAGAATTCCCTGCCAAGTGGCCCATTATATTGCATATATTTGAATTGCACACTTTGGAACCAATATAACTACTACTACACACACACACACACAAAAGGAGTTATATGTTCTTTCCGGAAGTAGAAGCAGATGGCCTTTCTAGCCTGGTATTACTGAGGTATAAATTAGTACCCGAGGAAGGTCATCCCTTGTCTCTTGATATGGAAATACAGACATTGGTGTGGAGGTTTTCCTGGCCACAGAGTCTGTCAGTCACGGATTTGATGTTTCAGTGTCTGGTTTGAGTCATTTGAATACATATTAAAATTCCTACATCACTGTCTGTCTCACTATTTGTTATGCCTCCCGAGAATGATTGATATGTGACAAGAAATAAAATTTTTCAAGAATAACAGAAGCATAACTTTCAGCCAAACAACAGGTAGGTCTATCAGGTGAACCACAATATCAAATATGCACTCCTTAGAATAGGAAATCATTCAAGACTACAAAAGGAGTATTTTTCCAGAAACAAAGTTCAGAAAGCAGGAAAAAATAGGAAATAAAGACAAACGAAAAGCATAAAGACAAGGGGAAGAGGAAGGAGTTCTCGCATTGTAAGAACTGTAGTCGATGGCATGAGACAATATATGTGTGAACTGTTGGATGAAAACCTGATTTGCTCTATCAATATCTACCTAAATTCAATAAAAAGTTGGAGAAACCACAGTAAAATTAATGAAGATCCTACTGACTGTCTTGTTGATAATGATAATATGGAAAACACACTTTCTTGATAAAATAAAATATGTTGTTGTTAAATGCTGTCGAGTCGTAGGTGACTCATAGCAATCCCATGAACTTTCTTCATTTCTCCAAGTTCATAGGGTTTCCAGAGGCAAGCTATTTTTGGAAGTGGATGCCACTCCTGCTTCCAAGCTTGTTTTAATCCGGGGAGGTTGCCAAATGCTGTCCACTATGAGTAACCAATATTGCATTTAGCACATCAGGGTCACAGTGTTCAGTATCACAGCAACCACGAGTTACCTCTGTACAGCACATCAACAGAGCAGTGCCGTAACACCTAGAAGAAACACACTTTCTTGATAAAATATAGTTTAAGAAAAACACTAACAGAAGGAGTAGAACTTTACCTCTCTCTGACAAGTCCCCCTAAAATACCCAATTTAAGAAGTCTCCATACATCCTCAAGTGTCACAAAGCACTGCCTGTTGGTGGCAGAGGTAAAGACCTATAGTAGATCATTTTAAAACAGTTTAAAATAGGTTTGGAAGCAGGAGTGGCATCCACTTCCTAAACCACATGCCTATGGAAACTATGAACTTGGAGAAACTATGATAGTTATAGAAAGGCATCAGGTCTTTGGTTCATAGAGTCACTATGAGTCGTGCTCAACTCGATGGCAGTCAACAACAACAACAACAACAACAACAGATCATCACAGTAGTCACCAGAAGACACTGTTTACAACTAACTGTAAAATAAAAAGCTGTTTTGATCTTTACTGGACAGGAATTTTAAAAAATCTTCTTATAGTTGAAGATTTATCAAACGTACGGGGTTTATTTGGATTTTTCTTGAATCCACCAGGGAATGTGCTTATTATTGCTGCTGAATACTTACACTTTGCAAGAAATCAATAAAGCTGTACATGTTTGGCTTAATTTAAAAATTTCTCACCCTTTCTCACCATTAAACTAATAGTGCCTGCTCAGCTCCGCAGGGCTTAGAAAAAAAACAAAACAAAAAACAGTGCTTTATCTTTCCTCCTCACCAAATGTCCGGCTCCTACTAGGATGGCACTGCGTCTCATTTTCCAAATAAAGTTTGGCTTTTAAAAGGATTACCTCATCAACAAGAAAGCGGATCTTTTCCACGAAGTTTTGGGCTTTATCGATCATCTCATCGAGAGAGAACTTTTTCTGCTGTTGTTGAATAATCCCTTTGGCCTCCTTGGCCATTGCCTCCTAAAACAAACAAACAAAAAAAGTCAGTGAGAACTTTCTGGACCTATGGACAACCAGCACTGTGCCGTGCTGAAGAATCTTGATGCTTCTCTGCTCTGTTCTGAGCCACTCACCACATGGGCTCCTTCAGGGTCTCCCCCTGGATCTGCCATCCATTTCCCAGGATGGAGACAGTCCATGTCATCTTACCTTTAATTGACACGAGAAACGAATGCCCAAAAAGGTCCAACATTTGCCAAAGTCCTACAGTTGTATTAACCCTGACCCCAAACTAGGTTTTCTGATATTTAACAGCAACAATAATATCAGCAGTCAAAAGTCATTGAGCTAGACTCCAAGGATTTAAGTAATAAGTGACCTGGTCAGTTTCGTGTTTTAGAAAGACCATTCTAGTTGGTTGTGGATGATGGATTAAAATAACAGTCTAGGCCAGAGATGCTAAGGTATTGGGCTTAGGAAGTCATTCTGGGCATAAGAAAGTGGAGCAAATTCCAGAATCTTTAAGAAGTAGAATCAATCAGACCTGGCAGATCCAACTGGCTATGTAAGATGACGGGAAGGAAGAACTCAAAATTGATTTTTAAGTTTCTGACTGGTGCAATATGTATAACTGCCTTGCCAATACAAACAAGAAGACTATGGGTCCAGTAAAATATATCAGGTTTGTGCTGCTGTGAGATGAACAGCTACAGAGATTGCATGCGGAGATTGGAATCCTGGTTTGCATGATAGAACTGGGTTCTACAAGGATACTGGTGGTTGTGGAATTTTTGTACTTTTTCAGACTAAGGATGAGAAAACACTATACCAATGTGAATAATGCAGTCGGATGGACATTGTAGAGACGGGAAAGAACAGTCAGAGATGTTAAAGAAGGACAACTGTTGTTAGGTTCCATCAGGTCAATTCTGATTTAACAGTCCCGTGGCTGCTCCATAGGGTTTCATAGGGAGCTCTGGTGGCCTAGTGACAAGAAGCTGTGCTGGGATCCTGAAGGCATGTGGTTGAATCCCACCAGCTGCTCCACGGGAGAAGAGGGACAGTCTCCTCCTGTGCGATTAACTGCCTCTGAAAACCCACCAGAGGGTCAGCTATGGGTCAGTTCTGACTCAACGGTACACAACAATAACAACAACAACAGTGTTGCTCCATAGGACTTCATAAACGGTAACTGTTTTTCTCCATGGAGTGGCTTTTGTTGTTGTGTACTGTCAAGTCAGAACCGACCCAGAGCAGACCCCCTGGCAGGTTTTCAGAGGCAGTTAATCGCACAAGAGGCAACTGCCCTTCCTTCTCCTGCTGAGCAGCTTGTGGCCTCGAACTCTGTGCCTTCAGGATTGCAGCACAGCTTCTTGCCAGTAGGCCACCAGAGCTTTAAACCACTCACCTTGGTGCGCTAAAGGCTCACCAATCACCATCAGACTTACTTAAAGAAGGAATAAGGTAGCAGAAAGATCTGATACACAGTGGGAATGTGACACCCCTTAGTGATTTGGAGGGCAGAAGAGAAATATTCTGGCATAATCAAAATAAAGACATACTAGGAGTTAGGAGACGTGGATTTTAATTTCTGGGCCACAGTTAAATTATCATTTACTCTCTTTAGGTCTCATCCACAGCTTTTCAATTTCTTGGACAACTGCATGCTATTTTTCTTCTTTAGGATTAAGACCCCTGTAACAATTGGCTTGAGCACTTCAGAGATTGCCCTATCCTTCAGGACAAGGTAAGGTTCAGATCTGCGGTTCATAGAGTCTCTATCCCACAACAACAACAAGCACAACCTACAGGAATTTCTGGTACCATTGTGATAGCTGAAGTTTGGGGACAGGATAATCCAGGGTCTAATTTAGCTTGACTTTTCTCAATCATAGCTCTTTGAACAAAAACTAAGAATGGACCAGGCACCCAGCACTGAGTGAAGAACCCAGGACACACGGAGGCATCCAGCTACACAATTCTCAAGACGTGCATGAAAACATGGCTTTTCAACTCTTTGTACAATTTTCAGTGGCAGAAAAACAAAGAGAAAAAGAATAGAGTTGTTTCTCTTCGTCTCAGCATGTGGGACAATAAAATGAGATCTATAGACTGTGACAAAATACAGATGTAAAAAACATAGACAAGGGGAAAATCCACCAGGGTAAGAAGTGGTGTGGAAAGGCTTCTAGCTCATTTTTTACAATGTTCAATAAGTGCAAGTTCATTTCCAGCTGGTCCCCGTGTTCTTTTCCCTCTGGTTGTCTCCACAGGACAGATGTTTGACTTTTAGACCTTTATCTTCATCTGGCCTGTGACCTATTCTTTGTCCATCATGTTTATTTTGAAGGCATACATTTTAACTCTGTTCACGGTATAAATAGATTTTCACATACCAGCTCCTGCCAACAGAGTGTAAGTCGTTTCTTATCTAAGGTAGTTTGGTTCAACATCTTGGGCTTCTTTTCTGCTTCAGCGATAAAGTCCCTGGAAGAGAAGAGTGACAATCTGAAACGTGATTGATCCAATTCCAGAGATTTGTAATATGCTTTCTGCAACACAACACGGAGGCAGATGAAACTTATTTCTTGTACAGGATTATATAATGAGGACTTTTATGAACAGCACACTGAGAATTGGAAATCTACCCAGACCTCACAATAATTTGAAGGCATGGATATTGCTTTTCCATTGTCTTTTTGTTGTTGCTGTTAAAATTTCAATCAAAACTTATTTTTTTTAACTTACAATGCAATATTATTCATCCATAAAGAGAGGTGATGTTTCAATACAAGGTAAATGATGGATGAACCTTGGAAACATTATGATGAGTGAAGTAAATGAATCTCAAAAGGACAAGTACTATATAATCTCACTTGTGACATAGATTGAGTAGGTAAATGTGCAGAGACAAAGTCTGTGAGTGGTTCCCAGGAGCCGGAAGGAAGTAGAAAGGGAGAGTTAAAAAGCATTGAATTTCTATTACAGTGATAGAAATTTGCCAATGGCTATTGGTGATGGTTGCACAATATGATTAATGTAATTAAAGTTTGCAAACTATACAAATGAAACAGTTGAAATTGACACATGTGTGCGTTTTTACAATTGTTTTTGTGTCCATTATCTTTTACATGCATCCATTGTGATTACTGTCAAAATATATTACAACTGACACAAAATGTCATTTCTCTTACTGTATAAACTTAAAAAAGTATCCTAAAAAAATTGAGAACTGCATTGTATAGGAAATATTTTTTATTCAATTCTGAGTCATGTTTCCACATTTTAATATCTATAAAAGATTAATTATTGATATTTTGGCAGAAATAAAGTTAGAAACATGTTCAAAAGGAAAATGGTAACAGATTAGTAATATGCTTGAAGAAGACCAAAAGTGAATGGTCACAAAACTTGAGGTAATAATATTATCATCCTCTTGTTTGTTGATGGGCACTTAGGTTATTTCCAACTCCTTGCTATTGTGAACAAAGCCACAGTACATGGGTGTGCATATGTCTGCTTGGGTGGCAGTTATGGTCTCTTTGGGGTATATTCCCAGTAGTGGAATTGCTGGGTCAAATGGTATTTCTATTTGCAACTTTTTGAGAAAGCGCCATACAGCCTTCCATACTGGACATTATGCTGAGTGAAATATGTCAGTCACAAAAGGACAAATATTGCATAGGGCCACTATTGTAAAACAGGACCGACATCGTGGTTGAGTGAAGACAGAGAAGGAGGAGATGAATAATGTATACTGCATTGAAACAGATGAGGGAGAGAACTGTTTAAAAGGGATCTGTGATTGGGTATTATTGTCATGACAGGAGTCCAGAATGAAGGCTGCACAGTGGAGTGGACTCCGGGAGAGGGATTGCATAACAATTAAAGAAGTTTTCTTTTACTTTTCAAGGAGAAGAGTGAATGGGGCAGGGGCAGCGGGGGAGCTGGGAGAAAAGTGCAACAATGAATGAATGGAAAACCTAAGTCTCTGTAAACGTTCTTTAAAATTAATTTTAAAAAGGATTATCATCCTCATCCATAAGAACTTAAATGTAAATTAAAATTGTCATGTCCAGTTAAGGTTAAAAATGGATATAAATTAGGATGGCAGAGGTAGAGGAATATTGTCATTGTTCCACAATATTCTTCTTGTTGTGTCCCATCAAGTGGGAATCAACTCGTAACTGACCTTCTAACAGGTTTTCTGAGGCCATAGATCACACAGCAGACTGCCCATCTTTCTCCCACAGAGCAACTGGTGGATTCAAACCACTTGCCTTTGGGTTGACAGTGCAGTTCCTTACGCAGTAGGCCACCAGAGCTCCCTGCATTATCGTGTAAGAGCATAATTTGACTCATTTTAGATGCTATTGGGAAGCACTTGTTAAAATGTAAATGTATATTATTGTCTGATCCATATAATACACTAGCATACCAACTTAATCTCCTCCTTTCCTCATTCTTTTCATTACAATAACAACAATAATAACAGATTTTCTTCTCAAGTCTTGATTTAATTTTGAGAATTAGTCCGTGTGTTCCTTATGTGACAGGCAGCTTCTGGGTGGTCCCCAGCCACCCACCTTAATCCTGTATCCTTACCCTGTGTGACTTCCTCGTCTCTACCATAAGCTGGACCTGTTGGCTTGTCGATAACTAGCTGTATACAGCAGAAGTGAGAAGTCACCTATTATTTCATAAAAGACTGTGACCTCTATCTTGTTCATTTTCCTCTCCTTGCCCTCACTGGTGAAGCCAGCTGCCATCTGTATGAGCCGCCCTATGGAGTGTCCACATGGCTCTTGTTTGAAGGTGGCCTGCAGCCAACAGCCAGCATGAACTCAGCCTAACAGCCCACAAAGAACTGAATCCTGAAAATAGCCATGTGTATGGGCTTGGAAACAGAGTCTCCTTCGGCTGTGCTGTCTACAGCCTCAGTGGGCACCTTGGCTGTCGCCTGTAAGATCCTGAGCTAGAGGACCCAGGTCGACCACATCCGGATTCCTAACCCACAAAACCGTGAGATGAGAAATGTTGTTGGGTTGGGTTTAGCTATTACGTTCTGGGGGTCTTTTGGGACAGTTCTAGCTTATGAATATAACCAATTTGGGATCTTTTATTCTTTTGTCGGAAGAGTCCTGAGGGTGTAATAGACTAAGATGTTAGCTGTTGGAATCCAGCAGACATTCCAAGGGAAAAAAAGATGAGACAGTTGTGATTTTGAAAAGATTCACAGCTAAGATACCCAACAGGACAGTCCTACTCTGTTCTCAAGGGTTCCTGAGTCAGAAGCAACTTGTCGACAGCAGGTTTAGGGTTGGGGGTTTATTCTATTGTCTACTACTACTACAAATCATCGCCAGTGCCTATAAATGGGTTACAGAAAAATGGCTGCTAAATGTCCTAAATACTGCTTGCTGTAACCTGTCCACCTCCCTGTAAAATACCCAATGAATGTTCACCAAGTGCATAGACTGGGCTGGGCACTAACATTGCTGTCATTTTCCTTGTTCCTTCGAGTCTTTGTACTAAATCTTTATCTTCTCATGTCCCACCCCTTTGGCTTACATTTTAGTTGTGCGAGCATCAGGGAGCAGTATTAAGCTCAAAGGTGCCAGTTAACCTAACGCCCAAAGGAAAGACGCACCGCTGTGTACACAGTGCTCACTCTGTCTGCATAGAAAGTCAGGTGTGTGTTTCTCAAGGTGATAAAGAGCTGCTTTCAGAGCCGCTCGGCTCCCCCAACTCCAGCTGTCGCTGCCGCTACCTGCTTTGACCGATAAAGTCACTGAGCACCGTCTTCATTTTCTCTTCCGGAGCCTCCTCTGAAACCTTGATCAGTTCTCTCACTTCTTCTAGGCTTTCTTCCTGCAACAAACCACAGCGGAGCAGGGATGAGGGGTGGGGATCACACACTGTAGGAGACAGAATGACAGTGAAAACATCCCAGACACAGCAGTTGGCTAAATTTTGCTTCAGAGATGGAAGAAAATTTTACTCAACTTCTTGAGCCTGACGTAGGATATGTCCCTGTACCCCAAGCCTGCAGTGAACCCTGACTCTGAACATGCTTTTTCTTAACTGAGATTGATTCATGTACAAGTCTTCTCCTGCTCTGTCCACACTTATTGTTTCTGCCACAGATATACTTCCCAGCTAGGCACCGTTTACTTAGTCTACCCTGCAGGGAAACATAATGCCACTATGCAAATAAATGATATGCAATTACCAAAACTTGAAAAGCAATGTGAAGTTGATTTCTTACATACAATCATATCAAATAGTCTCTGAAGTGAGAAGGAATTCTTGATTACGTAATTTTAGCTGAAGGACATGGCAGGCTGTAGATTGTGATGACTACATGTTTGTGTGTGTGTAATAATTGCACTTCTCTTTCTGGATCTAAACTCTAGTATTTCATTCAGTGGCTTGAAGACAGAAGTACACACTGCCACCACTTTGCTAGGATTTACAAAAACTACTTCCGCCATCACATGCCACAGTCTGGCACGTGGGGATCTGTAGTCCCTTCTTTTCCACTTCAGTCTCTTCCCTTCTTTTCCTCCTCACTATAATCACAGACAACGTCATGGGAACATTAAAAGGTTCAAGCTACGGATCCTATTTGGTCCTGGGATCATTCAAATCCCATTCTTACCAGTTGTAAGGAACCTGACCACTTTATGAACAGTTTCTTCACTTGTAAAATGGGATAATCATCACAGCAGCCTACACGCCATAGGGAGATATGAACTTCCTCAAACACTGTCTAAACTAGTAGCCAGTGAATCAATTCCAACTCACAGCAAAACTGTAGAGCACAGCGACCCCAGAGGATTTCCAATGCTATAAATTTTTACAAAAGCAGAATGCTGCATCTTTCTTCCATGAAGAAGCTGGTAGGTTTGAACTGCCAATCTTTTGGTTCACAGCTAAGAACGTTAACCACTGTACCCAGGATCCTTTAAACAGCCTTTGGGTTTTAGTGAACATTTAATCATGTTAGTCATGAGAAAATACTGATATGCAGGTGCAGAAGGAATCTTATCACTGAGAAAGGACTAAGAAGTAAGTGCTAAAGGTTACTATGGCCTGAAGGAGAAGTTTTGACTTGTTTTGTCGAGACTCTTAGAAATAAACTTTCTGTTTGAGAGAAAAATGAAGCCAACTCTACAAGGATAACTGGTGGCCTCCACGTGGTGTGGCAGCTGGCCAGGCCCCCTGGCCTCTTTCTGATTATTCTTCATGATGCCTAGAATATCCGAGGGCAGAGACAACCCATGGCCTTATACAGCTAGAAAATAGTATTATAAAGCAAATCAGAGGGAGAAATGATCTTCCCATATTGTAAGTTTCAATGGAATGGGAAGGAGACTAGGATGGGAAGGGGAAGAATGGAATGGGAAGACGACCAAGGTCACATGGTGAGGGATTTTAAGATCGAGAATAGATGTAAGTAAGGTGTGTAGAGTGGGGAAAAGAAGAATTGTGTGATAATTTGTGTAATGATTGTGCTCCCAGGTACTAAGGCCGATTTACAAACAGTAGGAAACAGGTGATGAACAAATAAGCATAGAAATAAACTGACAATGATAATAAAAGCTCAGAAGGGAAAGAGCAGGGTATTGTAGGAGAGGGAAAGAGAGAGGAGAAGGGTCAGAATTCTCTGATGAAGTGAACTGAAGCTGAATCATGAAGGTCAGTTGAGTTATACAGACAAAGAATGTTGGGGGAAATGGTTCAGGTGGATAGGAGTGAATGCTAGTAGATTTAAAGATTGTAGGTATTTCCTCTCTTTGAGAAATCCAAGAGAGCCATGTCATTGGAATACAGGAGGGAGAATATGTAAGAGATGGACAAGAGACGTGGGTGGGCAGGAACCTGTTGGCACCTGTCGCCCAGCTGGACCCTGGGAGGCCTCTCGCGACTCAGAGAGGGACACACACATGTAAGAAACGCTCTCGGATCCTATGGCTTTTTTTTTCCATCCCAAGTGGGTGTCATTGGGCCTGTTTTTAATTGGTTTTGATCAAACATTCTTCTAAGTTGTATAGCCCTGGTCTGTCCACTTGCTGTACAGAGGTAACTCGTGGTTGCTGTGATGCTGAACATTGTGACACTGATGTGTCAAATGTGAGAATGGTTACCCATGGTGGACAGTGTTTGGTGGAGCTCCCCGATTAAAACAAGTTTGGAAGCAGGAGTGGCATCCACTTCCGTAATAGCTTGCCTCCGGAAACCCTATGAACCTGGAGAAATGGTAAAGTTATACAAATGTCCAGGTTTTTCGTTCATAGGGTCACTATGAGTCGCCTACAACTCAGCAGCACTTAACAACAACAACATCTTAGATGTAATGAGGACCTACTGATTTTGTGAGAAGGCTGTCAACCCTTTCCCTCTGGAGTAGAGGAAATGGGTCTAGTCACAGGTCCCTTAAGGGTATAAATCAGAGCAAGAATTTAATGTCAGGTCACCTGATTTCAAGGCCAGGGATTTTATATTCTCATTCCCTTGGGTTCACTTTGTAGAAACCACATGATTTGTTGTTGGTGTTGTTATGTTTTCTAAATATAATAATCTCAATATTTTTAATTTACTCTGAAGTTGAGGCTTTCTCCAAGGCAGATAGATACCCACACCTACACACATACACATACACAACTCCTTTGCTTCCCTCCCCATTCCCTGGTCATCAAACCAGTCAGCTGTCCAAGGTGCATACCAGCAGGTCTGCCATTTTCTCCAGCATGTTGGACCAGTGAAGCCTGAAGATTTGGTCTCCCCAAGAGCTGATGAAGTGAACACAGGGCTTCTTGGAATCAAATGGCAAATAGTTGTAGTTCCTGCAAACATGTAAATAAACAAATAAACTTTCATACTGAAAGTTAGTTGATAGTCAACGGTTTCCAATCAATCCAGCTGCGTGTTCAAGTTCTGCGTGTTGTGGCCAGGGTGAGTGGTGATGGCAGTGAGACAACTAAAAACAAGAGAAAATGAGCAGTTACGTGACTGCAAAGGAACAATGCTGACAGCTGCCATCAAGACCCAGGGGAAAGGTTACAAATGATCCCTAGAGGGCAGGATTTCTTAGGCAAGCACATGAGAAGAAAGGTCCTCAATTGAGAGAAGAAAGAGTAATGAAAACGATTTAAGTATCTGTATTCCAGACACTGCGTAAGGATCAGTTGAGGTAACAGATGTGATGTTTGGCCTTGTTAGAGAAGTCCAAGAGGGCACTAACATCATTAATGAGGCTGAAGGTGTGTATACCCTCGAGATGAACTGCTGCCATCATCAGCAAACAAACTTGTAGTGTCCCATGGCTGGCCATGCACTCATCAGCTATTCATTGTTGCCTGGCATTGGTGCTAATGATAGAAGAAGTGGCTTTTGGGGTAATAAGAGTCATGATGTTTAGTACAGTAGCTAATATAGGGGGGTATGCAGACAAAAGAAAGCTTTGAGGGTGACAGTAAAGGTGTTTGAATGAAAAGAGAGAGAGAGAGAGAGAGAGAGAGAGAGAGACTGACTGACTTTGTTTCCACTAAAAAAACAAACAACAAAACTAAAGGGAAACTTCATCCAGAAAGAGTGTTGGCTGTTCTTTTTAGCTCTCTAACGCAAATTTCTTCTGAAGGCAACAATAACATTAGCAAAGATGCCCCATAGCCTGTTCTGCAGAAAACACACCAGCAGGTGTCCACGCAGATGAGAAGCCAAATAAGTCCTTGGCAGAAACAGAGACTGTTATTGCAGCAGGAGAACAGAAAGAGGTTAGACACCAAACTGCTCTCTTGATTTTATGCCTTTTAAAATGACCACATGGAAATAAATCCCCAGCCCACACTGCATGTTGCTCCAAGGTTACTTTGGTTTGTAATTCTTCTCTAATGAGGGTCAAGACCTTTGCCCTTGGGGTTCTTAGGATCTTCTGAGTCTTCTGAATGCTGTGGCTTCTTGGCCAAGCTGTGGCACAGACGGAGGACACCAGATGGGAGCACACCACACCACCAGTGGAGCGAGAAGACTCCTGGTTTGAACAGTTTCCCTGACACGACTAACCTGGTGATTTGGGGCAAAGGTAGGCAGGTCTGGGATCCCAAGGATCAAAGGATGACCCGCCACTCATTCATTGTCTTCAGCTCCAGGACAGTGGGGCATGTGGGGGTATAAGCTGCACATGAGGGTGTATGCTGCACATGGGGGCATACACGCATGTGAGTATGTCCACTGCATGTCGATGCATACACTGCTTGTGGATGGCATTGATTCCAACTCCAAGCAGCTTTACAGGATGGAGCAGACTGCCCACTGGGGTTGTAAATGTTTACAGAAACAGATTGCTACAGCTTCCTCCAACAGACCTTGTGGTTAGCAGCTGAATACTTTAACCACTGTACTACCAAGACTCCCCTGAAGTCCCCTCTAATGGCCAGCAATAGGCTCAGAATGGCCTGGGGAACATGTCCACTGCTTGGTCACAGAGAAAGGTCACAGAGGCCCCTCTGTGTGCTCGCAGACAACGCTCCTAGGGCTGCAGAGCTGGTAATATGATGCTGCCCTAGTTTTTAGAATAGATATAAAGATCAGACATGTTCTGGACTATATTTTTAATATGAAAGTGTGGGCAGACAACCATAGGGTCAAATAGAAACCCCAGAGAAGAGGGTCCATAGAAGGGATAGTTGTTGTTAAGTGTCATTGAGTTGAATACGATTCACAGTGACCCCCATGAACAACAGATCTGAACTTCCCCCTGTCTTGCTCCGTGTTCATCACCTCTGACACATTTGAGTTCACGGAAGCAGACACTGCATCAATCCATTTCACTGAGGGTGATCCCCTCCACCTTTCCGAGCATGATGTTCTTTTTCAAGGAATAGCCTCTCCTAACAACGTGTCCATAATATGTGAGGTAAAACGTCATCAACTTTGCCTCCACGGAACATTCTGGTTGCCCTTTCTCCTACACATATCTGTTTGTTCTTTTGACAGGCCATAGGCTATTCTGCAGTCTTCTCCAATATCATAATTCAAATGCATCAATTCTTCCCCTGTTATCCTTCTTCATTGTCCAGTTCTCAGATGCATGGCAGGGGTTCGAAAGACTGTGGCCTGAATTGGGTGCTTTAGTTTTTAGACTGACATCATTGCTCTTCAGGACTTTGGTGAGATCCCTGACAGTAGACTTGCCCAATGCTATAAGTCTTCTAATGTCCTGACTACTGAGATTTTGTCCCAGATTTTGTCAAGACTTTTGTTTGAATTGACTAAGCTAAAGATCAAAAGTTTGCATCCACTCAGAGGTGCCTTGAAATAAAGGACTGATGACTGCTTCCGAAGTCAGTCATTGAAAGCCACAGTTCTACTAGATAGACATGAGGCCACGATGGGGCGGAATCAACTCAATGGCAACTGATTATCAAACTGGTTATCAAAGATAATGAATTCTAGACTGAAAATAGTGTTGTTGTTGTTGTTATGTGCCCTCGAATCGTTTACGACTCATAGTGACCCTATGCATAACAGCCCTAAACCCTGCTCTATCCTGCGCCAACCGCACTGCCTCTGACACACCCATCCCAATTACCCCAGTCACCGAATCAATCCATCTCATAGAGGGTCTTCCTCCTGCGCTGTCCCTCCACCCTCCCAAGTATAATGTCCCTCTCCAAGGACCCGTCCCTCCTGGCAACATGCCCAAAGTATGTCAGACGAAGCCCCAGAATCCTTGCCTCCAAGGAGTAGCTTGGTTTAATCCTCTCCAAGATGAATCTGTTTGTTTTCCTGGCAGTCCATGGTACATTCAGTACTCTTCTCCAGCACCACAGCTCAAAAGCATCCACTCTCCTTCTGTCCTCCCTAGTCATTGTCCAACTCTCTCATGCATAACAGGCGATTGCAAAGACCATGGCCTGTATCAGGTGCACCTTAGTCTCCAGAGAGACACCGTTGCTCCTGAGTACTTTAGAGAGGTCCCTAACAGCAGACTTTCCCATCGTGATATGCTTTTTTATTTCCTGACTGCCGGTGCCAAGAGTGTTGACTGTGGAGCCGAGCAAACTGAAGCTGTGAACAATCTCAATCTCTTCGCCATCCATCCTGACGCTGCCAATTGGTCCAGTGGTGACAATATTTGTCTTCTTGACATTGAGCCTCAGTCTATACTGAAGGCTGCAGTCCTTGACCCTTTGCAGCAAGTGCATGAGGCCCTCCTCAGTTTCAGCAAGCAGGGTTGTGTCATCTGCATAACGCAGATTGTTAATAGATCTTCCACCAATCCTGATGCCATAATTCTCCTCATAGAGCCCAGCCTCTCGGATAATCTGTTCTGCATACATGTTGAAAAGGTATGGAGACAGGATGCATCCCTGGCGTGCACCCTACCCAATTTTGAACCATGCAGTGTTACCCTGCTCTGTTCTGACTACTGCCTCTTGGTCCAAGTATAGGTTTCGCATTAGCACAATTAAATGTTCCGGGATTCCCATTCTTCTCAGAGTCAGCCACAATTTGTTATGATCCACACAGTCATTCTTTGAACTCTCTACTGAAAATAGTACAGAGTTCAAAGAATGCTAGTGATAAAAACTTTTGGGGGGGGCAAGGTCTTCTCTTGCAATTAATTGCCCCTGAAAACCTTCAAGAGGGTCAGCTATGGGTTGGTTCCAACTTGATGGCACATGACAACAACATCATATCTGAACCCAGTCTCCTTGATTGTAAAATAGGAAGATCAATGTACTATTCCAGCATAGCTTTTTAACTCAAAGCAACAAGCTCAGTGCCTAGAAGACCTTTGCTCTGTGTACCTCCCTTTTCTTGGCTCCTTGCAACTCTAGCTTATCCTTGGTACCACTTGCTTAAGACCGATTCTGTAGTTTTAATTCTTTGTACATATTACATATTGGAGATTTGCATAAGCTAAAGGAGATCAGTGAGGTGCCTCTGGCTGCTTCCTGAAATGGCCTTTCCTTAATGACTGAAAATTGTTTTCTATACTCTTCAGTTCACAAGTTCACGTGGCAGGAGCAAGATAAGAAATGATGTCCTCAATAAACACACCAAACTTAGTTTAAATAATTGCCCAGTGCTCAGAGGAAGAAAAGAACTGTTAATTGAGTTTAGATTGAATTTTCAAATGCTGCCTTTCCTATCGTGCTACACTTCAAAGTTACAGAAGGAAAACAATGCTCCAGGTATTTCAATGATAGTCAGCACCTCTGCTCTATGCAGCCGCAGTACGTGAACAGCTGACCACAGAAGATTACAGATCTGGCAGGGGACACTTAAAATATTACCCTGTTCACGTTTTACTCCCACAACTGAGAGAAATATTTATGTCTGTTGTGTTAGAAGGAAAGTGAATCAAACAGTCCCAGAAAATTGGACAAAACCTCACTGTCAGAGACCCTCACTCTTGTGGCTCCTGTGTCCCCACCTGTTCCCTTCTGTGACCAGTGGCTTCTCTGGGTGGGTGGTGGAGACCATTGGGACGGTAACGTCATGGGCAGCGCTTCCTTCTCCTTCATGCAGCAGCGGGATGGCGTCTTCTTCAGTTAGTTCAGCTGACTTCTTCTTGCTTCCGTGATGGGACCCACCGTCAATCAGGTTTCCAAAATTACCTGCAGAGGCAGAAGCAAGGACAAGCAGTGTGGACCTGCTTGGTGTAAGAGAGGCCAGTTCATGTCTTTCGAGGACAAGGGCGTAAAATCTCAGATTGAAAGTGGGAAAAGCAAGGGTTGGACTGAAGAAGTAAGATTGACAATTACAATATGTTGCACTCTTCATTCATTTTACCTATTCTCATACAAGAACTGTCTGAAAACAGTGTATGATTATGCATTACATGTATTAGAACAATCTGGAACAAGGGGTGCATTGCAAAGTGGCTGGGGGAGAAGGAATGAAGAAGAGGGAGGAAAATATGCAACAATGAAGAAATGAAAACCCAACCTTTCTGTGAACTTTTGTTAAAAAAAATCACAATTTTTAAAAAAGCAAAAATAAATCATGTACATTACTGATTAGAGTCAAGTATAAAGGAAAATGGTCAATTGAAATACTAAACCAAGGAATAACCATTTTTAACCCATTGACACATATCCTTCCAAAGTTTTTCTTGTAAGGGAGCTCTGGTGGCCTAGTGGCAAAAAGCTGCACTGCAATCCCAGAGGTACTCGGTTTGAATCCACCGGATTCTCTGCTGGAGAAGGAGGGACAATGTCCTCATGTACCAGTCAGATCCGATTAGACGGAACACACACAAAAAATTAATATAAAATAAAATTCGAAGTTTTCCTGTAGATGTTGAAAGGGTATCATTGCGGATACAGTTCTTTGTAATTTCCCTTTTCCTGGACACAGAGATTTGAGATTCTGTATCTGTCACTCCAACCATTTGATTTGAGAGAGTTGGATTCCATCACCACCTCCTGCGCTCTCAAGAGAGGGCTGCCTTTACTAAAACCAAGACTTCTTTCAAAGGAATTCTCCATCTTGAAATGATTTTCCCAGTCCAAGATTACTGGGAATTACAATAATAGCTCCTACAATGTGCCTGGCACTTTGCACGCATCAACGCCTTCAAGGAGCTATTGTTATTCCCCTATTATAAATAAGTAAACTAAAACCTGGAGAAGCTAGGTAAAAAGTTAAATGAGTGTTATGGAACTGGGGTTAGCAGTCAAATCGACTTTAACAACTCTTCATTATTATTTTTAAAATGAAAGTATAAAAATAAAACCATCTCTTCTAAATTGGCACAAGAGTGGGCAAAGAATTGTTCATTCCTTTCTGACAAACGTTCACCAGAGTGTTAGCATCTTCATTTAGAACACTCGTTCATTCCAGAAACATCTTAAGCCTCTCTAATGAGAGCCACACACTGCATTCTCTGCACTCACCAATGGAAACTTCGAAGCTAATGGGTTTGTCTCCAATCTTTCGGTCAATCATGGTAGCTTCAAAAAATGCTCCAAAGAGTAAAAATTCCTCATATTTTTCTGGTATAATCTATAGAAAATTTAAAAAATTAGATTAGCTTTTTGTCTTTCTCATCACAAAGCTTGATTAATGATGTTAACCCAACCAGGCTTCTAAATAAATGGGCTTGTGCAGTTTCTAGGGATTCATTTCAGTCTGAAATGGCATCAAATATTTCTCAAGTAATTAGGCTGGAATCAAGTCAATAATTTGCAGATTCAAATTTAGCCATTTCTCTGGAATGATACAGTCTCAGTCTCTGATCTTCCCTTTTAAAGACAACCTCTCCTTTTATTTTCAAGAACAAACTGTGTGGAACTTTCCAAAAGGCTCTTAGTGAATTAGTGCTTGGGACCACAGGCTGGTGGTTAGGCATTTGGAAAATAGAACCCTTCCACCAGATCAGGATTCTTCGATTTATCCAACCTGGTCACATGTTTAACTTTCTCTGTGTCTCATAACAAACATGAAAGGTAAAAATTTGGACCATAACTACTTTTTTCTGGACTAGGAAACTGAAGCTTAAGGCTTTTGAGCTATTTCCCCAGGTATTCTGGCTACAGATTCAGTACTATCTGAACCTCCTGTTGGCTCAATGCCTGGCACTCACCCCAAGTCAGAAAGGACTTCCTGGAGAACACCAGCCAGGAAACAAAGGCATTCCCCTGAGGGTTAGTCACTGTGCTTGTGGGGCACACGCGTGAGCTCATCCACCATGAAGAGTGCTTGGTGGGGTTCGTGGAGAGGAACTCCAGGTGAAGCATGGGGGGCATTCCCTTTTATATTTAAAATGGAAATAAAGCCCAGAGACTCCAGGGCTTCTGTCCCAAGGTCACAAGCCATAACCCTTCCCTTGGGAATGGGCATTTCATGGCAAAGCACCAGTCGGCCCACTTCTCTACCAAACACTGTAATCCAATTGACCTGAGGAGGAGTCTCAGAGACAGCATACTAGAATTTACCCACGTCGCCTACTGACAAAATGCTGCATTCTTTAATTTTTTAAACTATCAATTGTTGTTGTTGTTGTTGTTGATTTCCTTCGAGTTGAGCACGACTCATAAGTGATCATATGAACAAAAGACTTGAAGCTCCTCTACAACTATCAAAGTTCATAGAGTTTCCAGAGGCATGTTATTTAGGAAGTGAATGCCATTACTATTGTTAAAGTAAACAGTTGAGAGAAGTTATTTAGAGTTTGCATGTATCCTGGGAGTCCCCTCTGATAGTTTACAGCCTCAGAGCCCAATGGAGTGTCACTTCAAGTCAGACCGAGAACAGTGGGTTTGCTCGGGTGTCATGTATCCTTGGCTCCAGAAATCTTTCCCATAATGAGATGGGGAGGGAGGGAAAAGAAACAATCTTGGGGGCTCTATGATACAATAAGCGAAAGTTCCCTTGAGTTGTGATTCAAGGAGCTGTGGTGACACTCTGGTTAAGGCATTTGGTTGACAGTTTGAATCTACCACCTACTCCATGGGAGAAAGATAAAGCATAAAGGTCCGTTAAGATTTTTAGCCATGTGAAGAGACATTGTAATTAACTACATGAATCAACCATAATTGATGTTATAGAACAACACATGTGTGAATGATTGAATGAAGACCCAACATGGCTTGTAAACTTTTGTTGTTGTTGTGTACCGTCGAGTCGGAACTGACTCACAGCTGACCCTCCAGCAGATTTTCAGAGGCAGTTAATTGCACAGGAGGAGATTGCCCATCCTCCTGTGGAGCAACTAGTGGCCTCGAACCGTGTGCCTTCACGATTGTAGCACAGCTCCTTGCCACTAGGCCACCAGAGCCTCAAGTGTAAAAAGGAGAAATGAAATAAAAAAGATTTGTTATTTTTAAGTAACATCAAATGAGAACCAACTCATAGCTGAGCCTTCCAGTTTTTCAAAAGGAGTAAATCGCCAGAGACGGAGTTCCGCTGCCAGAGACAGAGTTCCGCTGCCAGACGGGCCGGGAAGACACCCAGGAAGAGCAATAGTCAGCGGAACCCCAGAGGA